GACGCTTAACCGACTGCGCCACCCAGGCGCCCCTATACTTGAATACTTTTTAGAAACTTGAATCACTGGTAGCAAAAATCAGAGTTGTGTTACGTAACTTGCAGAACTCCCATTCTCTTCTTCGTTTGCTATTTCTCTTCTCTCAAGCCTCTCTAGATTATTCTGCACATCCCATCCCCAGCCAAACTCAGTCCGTTCCCAGCTAAAAGGTCTGGTGGTCTGGGATGTGGAGCATAACAGTTCCCTTGTCTACACTGTCCTAACCCCCAGGTAAAGCAGGTGCTGTATCTCCTTTATCATCAGCTGGTGAGAAGGCAAACCACCTGTCTGCTAGTGGTAAATTGGCAATCTGCTGTTTATTCTTCTCATAATGGTCCTGGAGAGACTCCGAATGTGACCCTATCATTGAACAGAATACTTGTCAAACACATGTGTACATTTATTTAAATGTCACATCTTAGGGGCATGTCATTCCTTTTGTTAAGACCTTAATCCTGTAGCTTCTAACACTAGATATTACAGTTCAGTAAAAGAAGAGAAGGTCAAGCAAGTACGTAGGAATTCTAGAGGAAGCTGCACAATTTATCTTCAAATCTGGGAATTGCTGAGGAAAAGGGAAGATAAGAAAATCTGCTCTAGGGGCCCTTGGGTGGCTCAGTCAGTTAACCACCCAACTTCGGCTCAGGTCATGATCTCATGGTTCATGAGTCTGAGCCCTACATCAGGCTCTGTACTGACAGTTCAGCCTGGAGCCTGCTTCAGATTCTGTGTCTCCCTCTCTCTCTCTGCCCCTACTCTTTCCTTCCCTCCTTCCCTCTCTCTCTCTCCCTCTCTCCCTCTCTCTCAGAAATAAACATTAAAAAATAAATAAAAAGAAAATCTGCTCTAGGCAACTAATAGAAATAGTCATGAGACAAAATATTGGTTGTTTCTCAAGGTTTCTGCCAACCATTCCAGTGAGTGTGGACTGTCTTCTTTCTTATTCCTTTATCAAGAGTAGATGATAAATATTTATAAGGTCATAAAAAATTATATCTGCTTTAAAAGTTTCTTATTTTTAAGTCCTTGGCAAATCACAATCACATAGTTTCATGGTTCCTTTCTCCTGAGACATCTTTCTCTATCTGTTCAAAATAAACCAAGCCATTACAAAGGGATAAACAGTGTATAATCTTTTTCATTTCACATTTTTCTAGAAATACTAGAATCTACTCTCCTTCCCAAAGCCACCCACATCTGCACGGGAGGAGAAGGAAGATTCTCCCTATTGGGCTCTTTTGTGAAATAAAGGAAAAATAATTTGGGAAAATCATCTTTTGAACGGCAGTCTTAGTCTAGAAATCAACATATCCGGCACATATTAATCAATGATCCTGACTGCTTGAGTAGATGACCATTGGCAGGAAAATATTCTACATGTGCAGCAAAGAAAAGACTAGAGAAACCAAATTTTACAGGAGGCTACACTTGCCCAGTATTTGGATCTATGCAAAGTTCCAAACCTTGGAGATGCTGCCCCCACCCTGGTATGTGTGTTCATGAAGGAAACACAAAATGAGCATACTTTATATCCATAGCCAATTGCCTTCATCTAGGATTTTCCTCTGATGTGCGTGTAAGTTTACCGTTCCATGCTCTCAAATGATGGAAGAAGCACTGCCTTTCAGAGTTTTCCTTGCAAGGAGGAACAGAAGGAAGTCACCCATTCCTGCTCCCCACTCTGGAAACCCTCAAGATAATCTAACAGCTGGAGGCCAAGGGGCACTCACGCAGGCATTCGCTGGCACTCTCGGCGGTCGCCCTCCTCCACGGCCGGTCATTGAAGAAAGGCAGACACTTTTCACAGTCCACTCCGTAAGTGTTATGTTTACAATTACACACCAGCTTGTTGAATTCGTTCTTGACACACTCGCTTGCATGTCCGTTACATTTACACCTAGGAAGAGAACAGGCACTCAGAAATACGAAACAGCCACAAAGTCCTAGAAATGGATACAAAAAAATGATGTACAGAGAGAACTAAAAGCAACCTCAGAACATTTTTTAGTTTTACCACTCAAAACTGTAAACTGAGGAACTAAGCAAAATTAAGTAATGATTGAGTTTTTAGGTAGGAATTAAAATTAAACAGGCAAAAAACCCCAAAAAAGAAAAAAACACCACCACCCCATCTGTATTTAACCAGGGATGGGGCATTGACCAGACATAAGAAGAAAGTCTCTAACAATTTCTGAGGCCATCTGGAGGATCACTTCCGGAAGTCAACTGCATGTGTCAAGGAGCGGCCAAGTGCAGAGGTTAAGCAGAGCATGGACTCTGAAGCCAGGATACATGTTTGAAACCCTGCCCTGTGACTTACCAATGTAACTTAACCTCTGTGCCTTAGCTATTAAATAGGGATGATGAGAATGTGAATTTCACAGGGTTACTGAGAGGGTCAAGAAGCTGCTTTATTTATGTGCCTAGGATTGTGCAGGCATAAGTCAATAATTATGTCAGCTATGATCTGTCATAATGATTTTCCTGATCTGAAGGTAGTAAGAGACATTCAACTACCATATGGAACTCGGTAGCTTGATATTCCCTCAGGTTGTTTGGGGCAAGAATCCCTGAAGGATCCCTCGGATGCAGGCACAGTCATAAATTAAGGACTCATGGAAATGTCCATGAGTATTAACACGCGTTCTGGTGTCCTGATGTTTCCCTCACTGGCTTCTTTACAGACAGAATCAGTTCCACAGCTTCCACTACTATGTCCTAATACACTCAGACCTTTCCTGAACATCTACAGTGTGCCAGATATATCCTAAACTTATATCCCTAGCTCTCATCTTTCTCCTGACTCCTATCCTTCACTAATGCACAAATTTAGATATCCCCCATAACCTAAAATTTTAGATGTCTGCAACTCATCATCTCCTTAAATTAACTCATCTTCTTCACTCATTTCATTAATAGTGCCATCACTCTCCTAATCATTAAACCTTAAAATCATCTTTGCCTAAAGGCCTGATAATTCTTGCTTCACAATGAAATCCACCTAAATTGTTCCTTTCCAATCTACTGTCACCACCCTAATGCCAGATATTTGTCATCTAACACCTACATCACAGCATCATAACAAGAATATAAATTCTCTTGATGGCACTCTTTCACCTTGCCTGCAACTAATCTTAACCACTGTTTAGATATCATAGTCTTCAAAAAAGTACACGATTTCTCACTGATTACAGCCTCCATCAGCTTTCACTCCATTTACTCCAAATATTCACCAAGGAGGTTTTTCTTAAGCCTAGTAAGCCTATAATCTCCCAACCCTACACTTCTTTTTTTTTGTTTTTGTTGTTGTTGTTAATGTTTATTCATTTTTGAGAGAGAGAGACAGAGACAGAGTGCAAATGGGCGATGGGCAGAGAGGGAGACACAGAATCCGAAGCAGGCTCCAGGCTCTGGGCTGTTAGCACAGAGCCCAATGTGGGGCTCAAACTCACGAACATGAGATAATGACCTGAGCCGGTCAGACGCTTAACCGACTGAGCTACCCAGGTACCTCCTCAACCCTATAGTTCTGCTCATGACACACCCACCCTCCTGAATCCCTCCCACCTATCCTGCTTCCTTATCCAAATTCTACCCATTCTTCAAGGCCCAGCTTGGTTCCCATCTGCTTCTCTAGCCTGAGAGTTCTGTCTCATTCTCTGACATAGGGCCTCTTTTTATCTAAAACACATGTTTAATTTTTCACACGTTCATACACTGCCTGCCCCATTCATTTGTACAATCCTGGAAGGTCAAGTCCTTTTCAGCAGGTGAATGTCCTATGCTTCCATGGAGGCTTCAGAGTGCCTGTTGCATTGCTTTGTGCTGAGGTGCCCAGCAAGAATTCAGCAAGGGCGCTGATTTGACAAGGTTATAGAAATAACAAAATTATTAATTAATATGGTTGTAAGAAAGTTGCTACACTCACTTCTAAACCAAAGCTCCAGTCATTTTCAAAGTTATTTAATGATTTACTTACCTACCACCCACAGCAAAATCAGAGATTGCATAATAGTAGGACTTGAGAACTTTGGGGTCGTTAAACACTTCATCTCCAAAGGTGTTCAGGCGATTGAGTGTGACTCTGATGTCAGTGGCAGTTACCCATTCCTGTGAGGGAAAAAAATTAATAAAAAAAATGGAAAGAGGTAAAGGAACTGAAGATAAGGGACATATACGCAACAAAATTTTCTAAACTTTTCCAACAGTTAATATATCATGTGACTTATGTCCTCTTCTAGCATTAAATCGGATATATTATTCGAGGACTCCCTTAATTTCCTAGTATTTTTCTCCTTCTGGAATCTTCCCTTCTTTTCATCTAAGTTGTTGTTATCACTCAGAGTCCCAAAAAGCAGGAATAATAATCGTTTCTTCACAAGGCTGTAGAGAGGCTTAGAGGAAATATACTTTTAAAGGCTTAGCATACAGGAGGGACTCCGTACACACGCCCCTTCTCTCCACCCTGTATCCGCGCCCCAAATCCAGCAGAGAAGCCAGCACAGAGCTCATGGGGCACCACAGTGGTGTTAGATATGCTGGTCACTGTCTCCTCCTGCCCATTTTGTACCATCATCTACCTCTCCCTCCATCCCTAGTCCACTACTGATAGATCTGGGAGAGACATCCAAGTACAAAATAATAAATCATTATGCTGGCTGGGGCCAATCAGATGCAGTTTTGTCCTGACCCTTCCCATAATGTCACTTCTCTGTGAGGCCTTGGCCACCCAACCAAACATTGCTGCCCACCCCAACTCCCTATTTCACTCTCCTGTCTTAATTTTTTTTAAGTTGTTTGAGAGAGAGAGAGAGAGAGAGAGAGAGAGAGAGAGAGAGAGAGAGCGCGCGAGCAGGCAGAGGAAGCGCAGAGAGAGAGGAAGAGAAAGAATCCCAAGCAGGCTCTGCACTGCCAGCACAGAGACCTCCTCCTCAAGAGGGCCTCGAACTCACAAACCGTGAGATCATGACCTGAGCCAACATCAAGAGTCAGACGCTACCCAGGTGCCCCCTGTTTTATTTATATTGTCTCTTTCCATCACCTTCCCCCCACCCCGCCACTGCCACCATCATTCTAAGCCCACCATTCTAATCACCACCAAGATTCTAAGCCCCACAAGAGAAGGACTTATCTGCTTTGTTTACTGCAGTCTCCCTGGTGCTTAGCATACAGTGGGTGCTCAAATACATAGGCTGAGCAAATGAACAAATCTGAAGAAACCACAACTGATCAAATTGGTAGGTGTACCATAATAACAGAGGACAAGAATGAAAGTTAAAGTTTTTCCCTAGGTTTTATGAGCTCTAAGCCCTTATAATAAATGCCCTTTCATTGAGCTAATTTTAGTCAGATGTTTACCTCTATGGTAGACTGTTATAATGATGATTCCAATGAATCATTCTGCCAGTGCCCACACCCTGCACAGTCCCTTTCCACCCTGATTCTAGGCTGGGGCATGTGACTTGCTTTTGCCTAGGGGACATGAGCAAATGTGACACAAACAGAAGTCTGATAAGCACTTGTGCACTGGGACTTACTCTCTTGGAACACTTCTGCCATCATGCGAGGAAGCCTAGTCTAGTCACCTTGAAGCTTTAAGGCCACAGGGAGAGACAAACTCAGTTCCCAGCTGACCTGCCATTGAGGGAGCTCAGGTCAATATGGAATCAGGAGAAATAATAAGTCACGGTCATTTAGAATTGTTAAGTTTTGGAGTAGCATATTATACATGACCGCCCAAAGATGCCACTTCCACGGAAAGTCCTATCGTGGGACCACACGTGGGCATCAACAGTGGAGACGCAAAAAGCAAGTGCAGAGCAGCAGGCGTCTGTGTTTCCAGGAGGCTCCCCATGAGACTGGGAGGCACACCCCTGATTAAGAAGCACAGCTTAAACCATGCCAAACACCTGGCATACAGAGCAACATCGAGGCCTCATAAAAGCTAATCCCCGTGAAGCCTCCAAGTATAATTAGAAAGGAGAAGAGATGATGATTCCACCGCATGCAAACGTGGAGCTCCAATAACAACTCCCACTCATGGCCACAATGCTAGGAATCTTTTAGTCGTCTGTAATGTAAATAGCTAAACATATCTCTGTGTTTAATGCTTATTATGTCTCCTTCGAGCTTCATCTTTATAACAGCTTCCCTTGAATAAAAGCTTCTCAAGAGTTAGGTTTAAGTAATTTTTTTCACAATGGGCATCTTAAAAAGAACAGGCTCTGGAGCTAGCCTTTCTAGGTTTTGGATCCCATTTCTGCTACTTAAAACTGCAATTTGGGATCAGTTACTTTACCTCTCCTGATAAATAATGCCCATGCCTCATCTGTAAAATGAAGATAATAAAACTGTCTACCTGCCCCCCGCCCCAAGAAGGGAGGGGCACCTGCATGGCTCACTTGGTTGAGTGCCGAACTCTTGATTCTGGCTCAGGTCATGACTTGCAGTTTCAGGAGTTCAAGCCCCATGTCGGGCTCTGTGCTAAGCATGGAGCCTGCTTTGAGATATTCTCTCTCTCTCTCTCTCTCTCTCTCTCTCTCTCTCTCTCTCTGTGTGTGTGTGTGTGTGTGTGTGTGTGTGTGTGTCTCCCCCTTCTCCCTCTGCCCCTCCCCTGCTCGCGCATACTCTCTTTCAAAAAATAATAAAAATTAAATAGAATTTTAAAAGTGTCTACATGTAGAGTTATTGTGAGGGTTAAATGAGTACATATAGCTAATATATCTCAAAGGCTCAGGACACTGCTTGGCACATTACAGCAAGTGTTGTAATAAAAGTTGACTATTATTATAAATCAGTATATGCTTAATAATATTCATATACAATGAAACCAGGAAGGGTCTCCTCTCCCATCTGGTAGATCACAGCTTCTGGAGAGAGGCACAGGAAGCAATAAGGAAAAAGGGTCATTATCAGCTAAAGTCAAATCAGCTAACCCTCCTTGGCAACTGGGTATGAAATCCAGACCTCTTACATTCAGAGACACATAATGTTTTTGCATAATGACAGCAACTGACCAAAACGATTACAGATGCCCATAGCATTTTCACCACATTCAGTCTCATGAGTTCCTATGGCATAAAGAGTAGCAAACATCAGGGGTGCCTGACTGGCTCAGTTGGTAGAGCATGTAACTCTTGATCTCAGGGTCATGAGTTCGAGCCCCACACTGGGAGTAGTACTTTAAAAAAAAAAGAGAGAGAGAGAGAGAGAGAGAGAAGCAAACAGAATCCCTACAGCTGGGGGAACCGCTTCAAGATAGGCTGACAAGGCATACAGTTAGCAAAGGTGCCATAAAATCACAGTCACATTATGTCACTGCTTTTTCCCGCTGACTATACCATTGTCTCTGCAGGACAGTAAAATAGAATAATCTGGATAGTAAGAAACTAAGCTAGCAAATGTTTGCTAGTTGATCAGCTTAAGAAAATTGTAGATCACATCTGCCCTAGACATTCAGTCTTCTGTGTTTTCATCTATCAAAAGCAGTTAATTCTTCCTACTTATTTTGAATACATCTTATCACCATTGCAAGAAACACATTACTCAAAGGCCTTTGCAGACATACTCACTGCTCACCATAACCTCAGACTTTACCATGATCAAGATGTACAATCTCCCAGCAAACTACAGAAATATAATGGAAGGGAAGAATTGGACCCACAGAGAAAAAAATAGATTCTCATCTTTTGACACCATGCAAAACCATACAACCAATTTAGAAAGTCTCTGAATATAATAAATTTCAAAGAGAAAGCGTGAGAAGACACAAAAGCATGAAGCCCAGAAGAATGAGCGGACTCCCTACTTAGAAATCCCAACAGCTTTTCATAAAATGTACACAGCATTTGCAAACCCACATCCAGTCTTTGTCTCAGTCAATTAATACAGGCTGTCCCCATTTAGATGTTAACTTCAGCCACATGACAGAAGCATCTCCAATTCTGTGTTACAGAAAGATTCCAAATTATGGCATATAAGGAATATGTGCACAGAATTTCCGAGAAAAAGGACAGCTTTAATTCTTTCTGTGCTTAAATGGGGAAAAGTTTCTATCTTGATGTTCAGGCACTATACCATGTGTACCTAAATTTATATCTTGTCACAAACACCAGTGCCTTTAGAAGTTTTTATGACTGACAACAGAGCCAGACAGACCCAGTCCAAATTTCCCTGCACGGTTACGAAGAAGGACGGCGTTCTCAGATATTGCTCCAATTGTTCCCCCTTGCAAACACTAAAAAATACTTTTCCTATTGTCAAATCATAGAAGAGATAAGAAAGGATGCAAAAATAATGGGTAGATTCAAATACTCTCTTCAAAAGGTCAGAAGCAAAATGTTTGCACTGTGAGTAAAGAGCCAAGTTAAAATTGTTCAGCTTTCAAGATTTCTAGAAGCTGTAGCCCAGAAATCACTGGTGCGTGCACAGGGATAGAAGAACATCATTTGGGAAGCAGGAACAAAACGATTCTTCTTCCCATACTGAGCATCTACAGGAGAGCAGGATAAAATCCACCTGTCCGTCCTGCTGGGGTAGATTCCACACCCACCCCCTCCCTCTTTAGTGGGACCAAAGGCCCCCATACAATCCATCTTCCTGCATCCCGAAGGTACATGGAACAACTAACTGGAGGTAAAGCTAACTTCTGGATGCATTACCTGCAGCACTGGACTATTGTCGAAGTTGTAGGCACTCGGCCTTCCTTCTAGGGTTGAAAAGGCCACATTGCCTCCAGTCAGAGGGGAAATATCACTGAATTCATCTGTGCACAAGGCCTGCTGCTCATCTCCTCCTGTCCTGATGAAGCCGCGGTTTGCCTTCGAGTAGGTGTTCTCGCAGGAGCCGCTGTAATACTGGTAAGGAATCCAGGGCCCATCTTCCCGTGTGCGCTTGTAAATGGCGAAGCTCTCCGGGCGGCTGGTGTGGAACTTGAGGCGCACGTAGGTGATGTCAAAAGCTTTTCCTGTGAGACAAACAAGACGTTCAAAAGTCATACATAGGAAGCAAAGAAATTCCCTCTCTTCCCAGTTTGCTTTGGAACTTGACGAAGAGAGAACACAAACTGCCCTGTGCACCCTGGACCAAGATGGTTCCAGAACACACGACACATTGGCTGTGTCCATTAGGCAATTGGAAACCTGGAAATAGTGGGCGTTTTCCCTGAGAAATGACAAGTTATAGTTGGGTTCATAAGTTGGCTCATAAAAGCTTGTTTAGGACATGCATTGTTGAAATTTTGTTTGCCATGAAAAATGGTAGCACTGTACTTCTATCAAACAAAAGCAAAATTGAATTAAAAAGTACATTTATTCTTAATGCTGGTGCTTCAGCATAAACAATTTAATTAAAAAAAACAGAATAGAAAATTTTTGCTGACTTTCTAGATCAGTATTCTGGAAACTTTCAAGGTATTTAAAAACTCACTCTATTAACTATAATGTTACTTCTTGATGCAGGAGGACTATCTTCAGCACTATTCTTCCACTTATCCACCAAGTTAAGACAGGGATTTGAGAAAGAGAAAAGGACAGTGATTAAGAGATGGGGCAGGGAGTAGAAAAGGAAGAAAAAAAAATTCCTCTAGCAGCTGAACAAAGAGAAAAAAAGGGAGAGAGAGAAAAGGAGAATGGGAGTTTAAAGAACTTGTTTGAATATGTTCAAAGGAGAATATGCAAGATCTGAGCAGGGAAAGTCGGCAAAAGGGAGGAACTGGGCTGCTGTCTCTCTGGAGGAAGAGCCACCGGTCAGACAGCTCCCTGTGGCAGCCAGGGTGTGGTCTGATGGCTGGGACACCTTGGTTGCCAGCCAGTGTGCCTTCAGGTGGTTCAAAAAGACAATGTGCAACTGTTTTTAATCACCTTTCATTCACAAATTGGGTCTTTCTCTGACAATGTTTATCCTCTGCAACTTCCATGCTATAATGAAGATTACAGACTGGCCAACAAGTATTTATTGGGCACAACTACATGTTCAGTCCTACACTATACACTTTGGGGCACAGAATGTGTTAGACATAAAAGGTCCTTGCACTCAAAGACCTTACAGTCTTTCCTCCCCAAGTGGATTAACTCCACAGGAAGAACCAGCTCGGTCCTCTCCTACAAAGCTCACAGAGGAGGAACTCCTGCACACTCTCAGAAGTATTGAGGAGAGACTTCTGCCATCCTCTTACTTCCATGTACCTGCTCATCCTCAGGGGACGGGTGATGGTCACGTGTGGCCTGGAATCTCCTCAGCTCACTCTCCAGCTGCCTGCCTAAGGTCCTGTCCTGGACTCCTCAATGCAAGGCAGTGCGTCTGCCTCTGTGCCAGGGAGGCCTGCTGTTGTCCTACTACTAGATGCGGGACTAAGTGGGTGAGTTCAACTGGGCTGGAGAGGAGGGGACGGGGGGAGAGCAGAAAGCCCATGTAAGTCATGTGTCCAGGCTGTATTCTTTAGTCCAGTATTATCTACAATAAACTAATATGATGAGCCATATCTAACTATTTCTTAGGCGGTCTAGATCTTAAAAGAGAAGTTTAATTAACTGTTCCCCATATACACGAAACGCACATACAATTTTGAACACAAAGGTGTGTGGCATGATGGAGAGAACGCAGGACTGGGCATTATGAGACCTGAGCTCAGGTCCTGGCTCCTTCAATGACTAGCTGTGTGATTTCTGTTCCACCATTTTCTCCTCTGCAAAAATGAAGGTGATGACTCCTGAGCCATTTACCTCAAAGTGTTATTGAAAGGACAAACTAAGATCTTACATATACTTGGTTAACTGTAAAACTCTATACAAATATAAGGCATTATTATAATGGAGTTTAGAAAAAAAAAATCCTGAATTAGGATCCTGAATATGTTCACATGTAAAGGTCTGACTGGGCCAGGGACTACCTAGTATAGTTGCTAAAGAGTAGGACACAAATCTGCATCTTCTCCCTAAGATGCAGTACTACATTTTGCTGGACACAGGTTATGAAAATGCAGTTTGCAACTGTCTTGTTAAAAGAATGAAAATTTAACCTCTATCTCTGCTGTATCAAAACTGTTAAGGTGTGTTCCCTTTGAATGAGGGCGTGGATTTTTAATATAGTATCTATGGCATGCCAGAGATGATCTAAGACATTCTGGAATGGTAAAACAATTGAGTTCTCTTCAGGACAGGTGGTCTGGGATGCTCAAAGGCTTACTCACTAACCTGTGGATTACAGATTACCCTTGCTGTTTCTACTCTCTCTGTCTCCATTTCTGACATCTCATTGTTCTTTAACAACCCAACCTGCAGGAGACTGCATCAAAGGAGAGAAGATAAAATGGAGCTGGGTATGTTGTGTTCCAGACTAAAATCTGCATCACAGAGCCACACTCTGAAAGAAATGGGCTTCTGTGGTCCCTCTCACTGCTGCCACAGACATAGCACTGGGCGGCAGAAGGTGAGTAAGCAACATTGCTACTAGCATTAAACTTTGAAGCAAACTAGTTCACTGGTGCCGGCCGCACTCACTGAGCCTTGTTTTCGGAGCTGCCTTTTTCCTTCCGACCCACGGCCACAGCTGGAAGAGAAAAAGGGCTCTGCGGCAACCGGTAAAGGAGGCTCACACATGCCACATGACAAGACGGCCACGTACACTGCCCTCCGAATTAGAGTCAGTCCGGTGGTGGAGGCAGACCACTGCAATTCCCCTGTGATGAGTGCTTTGACAGGACAAGTGCACAAAGTTCTGGGAGCATGGAGGAAAGTCACCTAACCTGGACTTGCAGGGTCAAAAAACATTTTCTAGAGGAAGTAACATCAACATCCAGGACCTGAGGAATGTAGAGGAATTACCCAAGCAAACAGGGATCAGTGGTCGAGGCAAATGAAACAGCATGTATGAAAGCCCAGAGAACACAGAGGAGTGATCACTGAGAATCAGAGTTGTGTAACACAGCGAGAACTGGAGAGAGTGGCTAGAGATGGACTCACCAGGAAGGACAGCAGGCCAGGCCTGAGGCCATGTTAAAGAGCAACTTCAACCTAAGGGCAATGGTGAGCTGCTGAAGGATTTGCACCAGGAAATACATGATCAGATTTGACTTTTATAAAGATCACTCTGGCCACTGGGTAGAGATTAGGTTGGAAGGGACAGGATTAAAAGTAGGGAGAATAGTTAAGAAGATGTGGCAATGATCCTGGAGAGATGACGGTGGCTGAACTAAAAATAGGGGCAGCCGGAATGGAAAGAAATGAGTGGATCTGGGTGAGATGGAGGAAGCAGACCGCAGTAGTAACTTGGTGACCAATGGAGAGTAAGAGGGAGCAGGAGCACCTCTGAAAGCCTCCTCTTCTTTTACTCTGTTGACATGTTGTTTCACTGTCAAAGCTTCTTTTCCAGAAATAAGGTAGAAGGATTACAGAGCCACCCACTGAAATAGAGGACAGGGGAGGTTAAGCAGGACTGGAGGCAGCGGTAGAGGGCAGGATGGGGACATGAGTTCAATTCTGGATGCACTAGTTTTGAGGTGTCTGTGGGTCATCTAAACGAGAGGAAATGTCTAGTATGAAGTTGGATGTGAGTGGTCTGAAAGCCCAAGAGAGATGTCTGAGTCAGATATATAGATTAGCATGTAGATGGATGGTGAAGGTTGGGTATGGTTGAGACCAATGAAGCAAGTGTGCTGAGTGAGAAGAGAGTTGACTTTTGAGACCACTCTCAGGAGCATCAACATTTAAAGCGCAGAAAGCAGATGGTAGGACTACAGAGGAGGCTGTGAGGCCAGAGAGGGAGACAAGTAAGAGCATCAATATCATGGAAGCCAAGAAGGTTTGAGGAAGAATAATCACTGGTATTAAAATATGCTAAGAGAGTCATGTAAGACAATGACTGAGATGTCCATTGGCTTCAAGCTACAAACAGGTCACTGCTGTACTTAGAGCAGTCCTGTGGGCAGGGTGGGTGGGATTGAAGATGAATGGCAGATAAAAGGTAGGATGGAAGATACAACGAGTGTAGTCACCTGCTATAACATTTGGCAAGGTGGGGGGCAGAGAATGAGGAGAAGGGGATGGAATGTAGGGTCAAGGAAGATTTTTCTTTCCTTTTTGTTTTTTTAGATAGGAGATATGAGGTTGTATTATATGCTATTGTGGTCGAGTCAGCTGACAGGGAAAGACTGAATGTGGAAACAAGGCTGGGAAATAAGAATGGGATTCTGTGCTAATGAGAGAACTGGCTCCATACAGGAGAAAACCCGAACCCTTACTCTCTATGTGGGAGCAAATGCAAATGACTGAGTAGGTTTTAAGGAATGCAAGTTGAAAGAGTTCTGATGACTTTATTTTTTCTGTGCAGTGAAAATCACAGGTACTTGCTAAGGGGTTGAGAGCAAAGCCAGTGGGAATATCTGAAGAGAGGGTAGAGACTTCATAAGAGCCACTGTAGAGACCACAGAGAAAGTGGACTAGAGGAAAAGAATCCTTGCTGGGCAGAAACAGGGCTGCCAAGAACAGGGTACAGACTTTGCACAGATATCTCTGTGTGGGTGCAATTTTCTACAGCCACTTCATACCCCTTTTATGGATAAGAAAAGGGGACTGAAATTACATCAAGGATTTGGAATCTAATCTGAATAAATAGGGAAGCAAATACAGAAAATGGAGAAGAGTCAAGGCCTGAGTTATCTATCCACAATTACCTGTAGTCATGGATAATCAAAAACTGGGAAACTAAGGAGCTGGCTTTTATTCCATTAAACAGCTGCAGTCAAGACCTGTCATGGACAGTCGCTCTCCTCCTCTCTTTCTTCCTCATCATACCTCCCTACTCTTTATCTATCCATCCTACTCGTTTCACAGTGGACAAAATGAAAAGATCTAGTTAAATGGTAGATAAATAGGACACAGGACCAGGTCTCCTGATTTCTAGTCCAATGATAGCTTCTCTACTATTTTTACACTGTGGGAGCATACAAAAGTAGGCAGTATGACTTTA